TTTTTATATATTTTTTGGCTCCCTTGAAAAACCCATGCCATGCTTTTGACCTTATCCATGTGGGAACATAGGTTCCCTAATCCCTTGTAACTCTTTTCATAGTCCTTTTCATTTTTGATAAACCAATCTTTGAATCATCAATTGCAAATGTGATGAATGGGCAGCGTTAAAGTTGGGCATATAGATTTCTGCATAAGATTGTTATAGAAAGTCTCTCAATCAGAATTTGAGTAATATAAGGCTGGAGAACTTCCATTATGCCTTCTGGGCACATTTATTGTAATTTTGTAGCATTTTGTTTAATCTTGCTAGAGTTCATAGTTCCCAACCTTATCAGGGTGGAATTTATTCCTCTAGAGCAGGCCATTCAGAAGGCCATTATTTCATCGTTATAATAGAAACATCATTTCCATGACCAATTCATCCTGTAAACATTTTTCCTCTTATTTTTAAACCCAATAATGGTTTATCATTTTCTTTTAATAAGGTGCTTAATGCTACAGTCTTATCTGTACTACTGAATCCTCACTCACAGTTTTTTTGTTGTTGTTGTTGTTGTTCATGTAGAGACTACACAGACAACAAAAATAACTGCAATTTTTTTCTCCTGCTTTAAATGACCAATTAGTAGGCACTGTGATCAAGATGGCAATTTCACCTGTATAATCTTCATCAATGACTCTTTTTTTTTTTTTCCGAGAAAGGGTTTCTCTGTGTAGCTTTGCGCCTTTCCTGGATCTTGCTCTGTAGACCAGGCTGGCCTCAAACTCACCGAGATTCGCCTGGCTCTGCCTCCCGAGTGCTGGGATTAAAGGCGTGCGCCACCACCGCCCGGCTCATCAGTGATTCTTGTATGAGCTATGATTCCTTTCATGGATAAACTATTGCAACCTGGTAAAAGTTTAACTGTTTGAGGCAGGATAGGACCCCTCAACATGCTTCCCTATTGTTGACTGGTACGGTTATTGTTGTCAGGCAATGTATTACCATCCTTATCATATTTAGATCAGCATTTCTTAACCCAATGTTTTCCTTTCTTGCATATAGGGAACACCAGGAATTCATTGATTCTAAGCATTCAATTTTTGTAGAGACAATTTACATTGCTTCTTTAAGTGGACACTTTGCTAACACCTGTTTTTACATAGCATATATTACTAGAGCAGCTAATTTTGCTCTATGTTTATAGATCCGTACATTTCTGCATAACTTTGGAAAGTCCATAATATTTTCTATTTCTCTTTGAGGCTTGATTAATCCTTGGCAAACTTCATTGGCATTTATCAGAAGCAAACTATTTTAATAATAACTCTTGAATTTGTTCTGCCTTCATTGATTTTTGAATAGCAACTTTGAGTATCCCCATGAAGTTAGCATAAGGTTCATAGGGACGAAGTATATATTTTTTTTTATAACTAGACCCAAAGTCAGATTCCATATCAGTCTCCAGGCAGCCATGGCTACTACCCTAACATGTGGGCGAGCTGCAGGAGTCATATTATGCACCTGATAATCTGTTGAAACCCACCTACCAGTCTCTGTCATTATTTCACATTTGACATTTTCAGGATAACTCCTCAGTCCTAGCTGAAGAACTTTTTTATGGGTTTCATCTGCAGGTCACAATTGCCACTGAAGAAGTTTGAAAGGGCTAAGAACCATTTTAGAAATTATATGAAAATCTATGGCAAACTTTGTACATTATTGTTCCAATCAAAAAATATTCATAAATACATGGAGCAGTAGGTATATAGGAAATACAAGCCTTCTTAAAATCTATCATTGTATCCATTCTAGTCGCTGATAAATATTTTGATTTTATTCAAATTTCACTGGAAGTACCAAGCTCAGCTTGTGATGCCAGAGAAGAATTGGTAAATAAATTCCTTTTCGATGCCATACACTAGCTTGTCTAGATTGTAAAGCTAGCTTTCTCATAATCTCTCCTAAATCCTCATCAAAACAATGGAGATAATCCAAGATTAGATTTATTATCAGATTCCTCACCCCATGATTCAGGATATTCTTTAGGCAATACAGGAAACATCTTTAGAGGAGACTCCAGTAAGGGAGCTGAGTGATCCATCACCTGTGCAGTTATCAGTGGTGCTGTTTTTACTTTTGATTTATCTACACTGGGAAAATATTCTCTTGTTTTTTCCCTTGCCTCCTTTACCAGTTTTAAGGTGTGATCATACAGTTTATATTCATGCCAGGAATTAGCCATCTCTTTCTCATGTTAATAATGTCATCTTCCTTAAGTATTTTAATAATAGTCCAAATCAATGCCAAAGTGACCCAAAATTGAATGGGAATCTCTTCTCCTTATTTATATTCCTTTTATATTCATTCAGACTCTGTGCTACACTTGTTCATCTGAAGAGCCTTCTTTTGGAAACTAGGGATTATAGTCATAAGAAATTTGTACAGACTAATAGCTGTGATTTTGATACCTGTGCTCCTCCTTTAAAAAAAAATAAGATCCACAAGCCTCAACATAAGGCAAAGCCTTCCCCAGTTTCTGCCCCAATTTTTTCATTCACCTCCTTCTGTGAGATTCCCCCACTCCTATCACATAGCCAATTTCATCTCCCTGTTCAGAAGCCCCTTGTCACAGCTCCAGAGACAGTGGGTCTTGGGAGAATGGAGTTAATAAATGAGGCAGAATAAAGTCTCATGCCATAGCCAATTTTATTCAGAGAATCAGATAATGCATACTCTGAGGGTTAAGAAAGGTCACTTGAGCAAAGATCACATGAGTTGAAGCTGTATACAATCAAAAGAACAAGCCATGTGTGACACAAAACAAACGAACAAACATGTTATTCCATAGAGGCTGACATAATTGGGTTTTTATTGCTGTGAAAAGACGTTGTGACCACGGTAACACTAACAAAGAAAACATTTCATTGTGATGGCTCAATGAAAGTTTCAGAGAATCAGTCCATTATATCAAGGGGAGCATGGCTTCATGCAGGCAGACATGGCACTGGAGCTGAAAGTGTTACATCTGGCAGGCAACAGGAACTCCCCAGAAAGTAACACTGAGGGAAGCTTGAGCAAAAGAGAACTCAAAGGCCACCCCCTCAGTGACACAATTCCTCCAACACAGCCACACCTCCTAATAGTGCCACCTGCCTAGGGGGCCATTTGCTTGCAAGCCACCGCAGAGTCACAAAAGGACAGTTTAAACATTCTCTGCTTAACAGTAGCAAGCAGCAGTGGTTAACCTGAAGTAGACACACTCCTCTCTGCTACACCTGGGAGGAGGGTGAAAACACATGCCAGGAACAGTCTTGTGTTTTGAAAAAATTGAGGTCACAAGACCCTTATCCTGTTTTCCTAGAGTGTTCTCTCAAGCACTCAGAATTCTCTTCATGTGACTCCATTCCTGGACAATATTCCAACTCTACACTATGCAAGGTTTCTTCAGGATGGGTCAGATGACCCTATTGGCCAACATGATGGCATTGTTTCAAAGAACTCCAGACCAGAGAGTATTGTAGAACACAAATATTTGTCATGAATAAATAATCAAGGACAATGACTTGAAATTCATTTAAAAAAAAACACGGAAAAAGTGAATAAAAGTAAACTCTAAAGCATTTACAACATTATGATATTAAAACTAGATTTTAAACTATCAAAATATATTTATATAAAATATAAATTATTAGTAATGTGCTACTATTTCTGAAATTGAATTATATCACCATGGCATTGTATTAAATATTTTCATGCATCATCAACCATCTCATTTGTCTATCTCTGCTTGGAAATGATGATGATGTTCAATCTGTCTGAATGGAAAAATAAACACAGAGACTGCTGACACATTGTTTGTCTCAGTCTCTCAATAGTTCTCATTTCTCACCTCCTCTGATTTCTTCATCCCTCCTATGGGAGGTATTTAGCTATGTTATATCTAAACTTAAAAGGTTCTATTTAGATTATTTTTATTTTTGAAATTATAATACAATTGCATCATTTCCCCCCTTTCATTCCTCACTCCAAAACTCTCATATCCATGTTCCTTGCTATCTTTCAGATTCATAGATTTTTTTTAATTATTTTGGTTACATACACATATACATATATACCCACTTATATTCCTAAATATAAAACCTGCTCAGTCTGAATAATTTTAAATTACTCCGGCAATAAAGATTATCTAACACTTAACAGGTTCTTTGGAGATTTGATGGTAAAACACCGGACACCTTAGGACCCAATACCAGAGTCTACAAATGGCTCCCTCAGAATGACCTTCTAGGTAAGACTGGAAAGCAAATCTATTCTAGTTGACTTCAAAATACCTTATATTACATTAAATGAATGAATTATTTATTTACAATAACAAGTTCTGGTATACACTTGGTCTTTTTTAACACTCATTTCTTCTTATCTGCCATGTACTCCATGTGTTCAACTGGAAATCAGTATTTCATAGTTCAAGTCTCAAGTCATAAACCAATCTGCAAACATCTCTCTAAAATTTAGTATCTTCTTGCTCTAAGATAGGAAAACATTTCACTGAGGTTATGAGGATTGGATCTTCACGTAGGTTTTCTTATGATAAGGAGAGAGTAAACTAAATAAATGATGTAAATAAACAAATTTAATTAATTAATAAAAAAGAATCTTTATGTAGAATATCTGCTCTCAGTTACTGATAGTATACATTTCTCATTGCATGTCTAAGTATGCTAATTAATGCTAACCAGAATTCATCTTATTCTAGGTCATCCAAAAACCAGAGCCTTTGTAACTCATGGTGGAGCCAATGGCGTCTATGAGGCAATCCATTTTGGAGTCCCTATGATTGGCATTCCTTTGTTTGGAGAACAACATGATAATATTGCCAACATGGTGGCCAAAGGAGCAGCTGTTGCATTAAATATTAGAACGATGTCAGGGTCAGATTTGCTCAACGCATTGAAGGCAGTCATAGACAATCCTTCGTGAGTATAACATTTTAATATGTGTATTTGTTATTTATTTATTTTTCATTGTGTTTCTTACTGAAGACCAAAGGAGCAAGAATTTTCCTGAAGGCAAAAATAGTGGTAGGAAAAGAGAAATTGGGGCATGATTCAGTGCATTGGTGTTTCTCTTTCTGTTTTACACAAATATGCACCACCATGAAGATCTGAAAGGGACTTGTCTTCTATTGAAACCCCCTGACACTAGTATGCACTTGGCAACCAAGTGATTAATAATTGCTTATGGATAACTGAATTTTATATAATCAAATAACATCTCATTTTGATATATTTGGTATTTAAGGCATAGCTTCCCCCAAACTCTACTTTAGGAATATTTAATCTTTTCCCATTTTTCTTTTTGTATGCTCAAGGAGCTCAGACATGCCTCTGAAGATCTTCCTAGTGATGAACAGAAAACATAATTACTTTTCCTTCTACTTTTGTGTAATTATCTTTACTATCGACACAAAAATTACATACGTGCATTTTTCATTCATTATGTAAGTTGATGTAAATTTTACTTCTTTCAGCTATAAAGAGAATGCTATGTGGTTATCAACCATTCACCATGACCAGCCCTTAAAGCCCCTGGACAGAGCCATCTTCTGGATTGAGTTTGTCATGCGCCACAAAGGGGCCAAGCACCTGAGGCCACTTGCCTACAACCTCACCTGGTACCAGTACCACTCTCTGGATGTGGTTGGATTCCTACTCGCCTGTGTGGCAGCCATAGCTTTCCTTGCCATAAAATCCTGCTCATTCATTTATCAAAAGTTTATAAAGATGGGAAAGAAAATGAAGAATGAGTAGATCTCATTGAGGATGTACTACATGAGATAAATCTCAGCATCATTCTAATTTATGAACTGCCTTCCCCATATTCACTGATTAATTTATCAAGTCATATCTTCTTTTGACAGATGAAAGGGAAGGAGAAAATAATATAATTACATCATATTCTCAAAAAATAAAAGACATAATAAAAATGAAAATGCTGAGCAAGCTATAAGGAACAATTTAGTGACCAGAGTTCTTCCATTACATCTGCTTCAGTTCTGCCTTTAATTCCTGCCTTTAACCTCTGACCTACTTTTCCTCAGTAATGGACATGGAGCTATGAGATGAAATAGAGCCTCCCCTTTCTCAAATAAAAATGAATATTTTAAAAAATTCAAACAAAGGAGAATCCTGGGCCTGGGCAGGGGCAGGCACCACTATGATGAGTAAATACGTGGTGGAGAGACGGGAGAGAAAGAGAAGTGGAAGTAGTTTGTGCTCTATGAAGAGAGGCAGAACTGCAGACATCAAGGCAGCAGGAAACAACCCGATGTGAGAGGCCTGCACTGCCAGCTGAGGTCATGGTGATATCTGTGATGCCACAGAGGGCGATATCTGTCTGGGTCGGTGGACTTTCTGTATCAGGGGTCTGTGTCAATGTCCATGGTGATGTGGACATCCTTGGTCTGGACTGCCATTTGAGGCCATTTAATGTCTGAGTACTGTGCTGAGCTGGTCCAACCACTCACCAGCCACCACACAGTAGCACCAGCACTTGCCTTTGCAGTTGGGGAGAGCTGTTCCCCGATGCTGGTGTAGAAGAGATGACCTCATGACTTAGTGAGGGAGAGTTGGCCTCCTCTGCCAGTGTAAATGAGCTGACCTCATGACTTAGTCGGGGAGAGCTATTCTGTCCCTCATCTTGGCAATGCAGGGGAGCTGGCCCTGTTGGCACGGGTGTGGAAAAGCTGGCCCTGATGATGTGGTCACAGGAGAGGCAGCCTCACCCCCCGACTGTACATTATGGGAGAGCTGGCCCTGGTACATGAGCAAGGGAGAGCTGTTGGGCTGACCAACTCAGCCACCACCCAGGCCAAGATCTGTAGCTTTGAGCTGGCTCACCCCAATACCTACACCATGTATGAGTTGCTGGAGTTAATGAAGGAGCTGGTCCTGCAGAACCAAAGTAGCAGGGGCTCCATGACACAGGGCAACAACAAGATATCTTACAGGAATCTCAACCGTATCCAGCTCCAATAGTGTAGCTGAAGCCAGAGGCCTCAAACCAGACCATTGACACATTGCAATGAACATTTTCATGTAAAGCTGTTTGTGCAGAAGAGTATAAGGCATGAGACACCATCTCACACTGCAGCTTCTCCCCAGAGACTTTTTATGATCTTTTATTTTCTATTTTCTTTTGTGGGGGAGGTTTTGGGGTGGAAGGCAAATAAGGAAGGACTGGGAAATGAGTGGATTTGGAGTGCATGATGTGAAATTTCTAAAGAATCAATAAAAAGTTTATGGGAAAAATTCAAACAAACAAAGAAATAACCCTTATTCTAAAAGTAAATAATAGTGTGAAAAAAAATGAAATGAATAAAGATCTCATCCTGACCTCTATTCTCAAATTCATAGAAGTCATGGTTACAGCTGTGTATAGAGTAATTACATGTATATGAGGTAGTTGGTTCAATGATTAATTTAAAAACAAAAACTGAAAAATTCATGTATCTTATCACAATATCCTACTCACGATTGTCTCAGAACAGAAAAGGCAGACAATCTTATGTGGAGTTAAAAAAAAATGAAATTGTATTGTGAAAGATGTAGAAAATTTAAATAAAATGTACTGTCTTTTTATCAGAATGCTGAATAAAACAAAGATCTATATTTAATAAATTCAGAAATACACTCTCTGACAAACATCCTTCCCCAGTTAACATTTTTTCAAAGATCAAAGTTTATGGTTAAGGATAAATGTTGCTCTCAAAATTGCACTTTGCTCATCAGCTGTACCGTTTGAATTAGGCAACCAAGTAAGAGTGAGGATGCAGAGGGCAAGGCCAGTGGGCAGTGGGGACCTCAGCAACTAGCATGCCCACACAAGATTTGTCTTTTGAATATACTCGGTTTATTCACAACAAACATTTCTTACAATGTCATGTTAATAAAAGTCAAGCAAAAACCTCACCAAGCAGGGAACAGTTGCCAGCAGAAAATGCTGCTGCAGGTTTCCATTGGGAAATCTCCTCCCATGAGGATGCTTAGGAAGCATGCCATGGTGAAGTCCTTCATCTGTGTCAGGCCAGCACATGTGAGGGGCCAGAGGTCCCTGCAAGCACAGGTGGACATGTGTGAGCTTAGCAACAATGCTGGAAGTGCAATGGTAACCAAAGCTAGGGTCACACACAGAGGTCAGTTTCAAAGTCCTCTTGCAGATGAGTATCAACACAAAGGTCCAGTAAACTGTTTCTCAGAAGGAGCACAGCATGTGATTCAAGGAGCCACTTCCAAAGTTCCAGTGCTTGACTCTTTTCATTTTGCCTTATCTTTGTGCTATTAGGGGTCACAGGTTACATCTGACTCACTCACATATCAGTGCTACCTTGTGGTTAGTTCATTAGCACATCAAGGCTTACCTTTAGCTTGGCTCTATCTGGGCTGCCTAGTGTCATCTCTCCTGGGACTGGAATTACAAATGGTTATAAGCTACCATGTGGTTGTTGGGAATTGATCTGGGTCTTTTGCAAGAGAAGCCAGTAATCTAAACTGCTGAGCCATCCTTACAGGTAATATTAACATTATTTAAAAGGAACATATTAACATGTACAATGTAAATTTAAACATTACAATAGTACTGCAGATAGGCATATCCTTCTAGCTTGTTCTTTTGCTAGCAAAATACCTAAAGGCAGTGTCACACACGACAGATGCAGTCAGAGGATGTCAGGTTGGTTTAGTGGATGAGTACGAGACAAAATATATGAAACTCTAATTTGTATGATGCAGTATATATTTGATATATAATCTGACAATATTTGTATTGCTTGTATACTGGAATAGTCATGTCCATGTGCTTCTTAAAGAGCTATCAGAGAGAAAGGTAGATAAGATACACCAACTATGAGTCAGGTACCTACCGAGCCAAATGTCTTTAGAGGCATCAAAAATCAACCCACAAAGGAAAGGATAGCTCTGGCTTTATTTAGAGTAGGAAGATATAAGAGAAAGAGTTAAAAAAAAAAAAGTAAAATCAAAGCAAGTCATAAAGTCTATTACAGTAATAAACTACAGATCATGTTTTAGAAATCTGTAAAATAGTATTTCATAAAGTCTCAATCTGTGGCAGTTATAATGAAGTAAGCATGTTATAAAATGATTGAAGTGTTTTAATCTGACTTAATATTGGACATTGCATTTTAACATAGATTTTGAAATTAAGCTTTTGAACCTGCGTGTTTAGAGATAACTGATGATATTTTGTTGAGTCATGTTAACGGATATTAACATTTAGATTACAGTTCTAGTGATGTGATAAGATTTAATACTTGCTGCATAACTTGGTGACTCAGTATTTTGTGTTTTTGATTAGGACTTAAAGTTCTGAGAAGTCAAGTGGAATTAATGTCTGACTGCATGATTATGAGAAGTTGGCCTTAGGATATGTTAAATCCATTGCTTCTATTTTATGTTTTTATGTATAAACAAATTCCCTGTCTGGTAATTCACTAAACTGAGCTGAAGATTTGGCAGATTAGTTAACATTACTTTCAATCATACTTCTTCCTCTCCTCCTTCCTTCCTTCACCCTTCCTTTCTTTCTTCCTATCGTCTATCTATCTATCTATCTATCTATCTATCTATCTATCTATCTATCTATCTCCATCTCTGTTTCTTTTTCTTTTTTATGAAGACACCCATAAACCACAAAAATAGAATCTCAGTGGGTTCATTTTTTGGTGCAGTATTGACTATTCAATACTCATGAAGACCCTTCCTCCACTAAGTGACTTCTGGCCTCTTAAGGGTTATCAAGCAACTAAAATTACCAATATAAATAGCAGGAGAATAATAATAAGATCTTGACGGTCTGTATTCTCCAAAAGCTAAGTTTAAGCTAACTACACAGAAGGGCTGATTGTGTTCCCATTCTGTGTGGGAGCCCATAGTGCCCCCAGGTTGTGCCTTAATTCCATCTTGACTCGAGGTCAAAGAATTCAAGCTTGTCTTTGTTCTCTTAGGATGAATAACAGAATGTTTGGCCAAAGGCCAAACCAGATGTCTTACTCTTCAAGACTGGATAACAGGATGTTTTTCCTATCTATTATTTCTCATTCTTCACTCTTCTATTCAGGACTGCTTGTCAGGTCTGTCAGGGCCCAGTAGTTCTGGCATTAGATACACTCCCTAGCTTACTTGTTTGATATTTTAGGATTCAGTTTCCAACTTCCTGACCTACACCAGGACTGGCTTCCTTTTTCTTTTTTTGAACATAAGACTATGTAAGTTTTGTGCTTTCTGTGAGTTTATATCATGTCATCTCTATAAATAGTGTAAATGAATGGTGTGGGCTGTTTTCCACCTTTGAGTTCAGAGACAATCCCACATATTTCAGCTGGCATTTACTCATTATTAAAATAAGAAATTGAATTTAAAAAGAATTCCCAAGCCTAAGAAAAGGCTTATCCATAAAAACACAAGAAGCACACACAAAGCACCAAATAGATAAGACCAGGAAAAAAAAAACAACCTCCTCACAGCATATCACAATTAAAACACTAAGTATAAAAGTATTCAGAAGAAATAAATAGTACTAGAAGCTACAATAGGGGGAAAACACAAGTCCTTCTAATTAAAGAACAATTAACCAAGAAAATTTTCCTACCCTAAATATACATGCACCAAATTCTGGTGCCAATTTCATTAAAAATATGTTACTGGATTTAAAGACATAGATTAACATCAAGCCATTAATAGTAGGTGATTTAAGTACCCTACTTTCTCCAACAGATTTCTCTAAAAGACTGGTCATCTGGACAAAAATTAAGCAGAAGAACATCAGAATCAAATAACATCATACAATATCTGGGATTCAGAGATATCTACAGAATATTCCCTAAACACCAAAGAATATACATTCTCCTCAGCATCCCATGGAAGCTTCCCTAAAAGAGCACACTAAGACACAAAGCAAATATTGACAAATTTAGAAAGATTAAAATAACTTTTTGCATCTTATCTGAAGGAGAGAGATAAGAAGGTAAAATAACAGTAAGAATTTATTTACCTAAAGTTAAATATAATATATATAAGTCTATTATATATATATATATACAATTTCAATGAAATTTTCCAACCTGGATTAAAAAAAACTCCTACAAGAGCCATAGACTGAAAAGAAACCCTCATAACATGCATGAGAAGTCACCTTTTGAGTTGTTGCTTAGGGTTGCCCAAAAGATTCCCCCAAACATTAAAGATTATTGCTACTGATTTTGGTTGTTCCCCAGGAATGGAACATAAGTTCCTATTGCTGATGACACCATGCACTTCAGACAAGGGACCCATAGGAACTGAGCTGAATCTGAACTGAAAGTCTCCTTCCTGAAGCCTAGCTTTCCTGGTAACAGTAGATTCATACAAGAGAGAGAGAAAACACCAAGAGCCCTACCCAGTTACGATGTCTACGAACTATAACAATAACCAACATGGCATAATAGCCTTAGAGTACAATACTGGTACTCCTATACTGGAAATTACCAAATACCCTCTAATTGAACTTAAGACCCACTCAACAAGAGAAAAATCATACGTAGTACTAGAAACCTAACTATCTAGAATACATAGCATCATTGATCTTTGAGGAGAACTTACAATGTATTTACTAAACCAGTAAAATTCCTAGATGTATTCTAAATATTTATTCTTATACCCACAGATAAGAGTAGCCCTTACCACTCATTAAAAAGAAAACAAAAAAAAACATAAAAAAACAACAACTTTTATTTGCAACAGATGGAGATCATACAGAGAAACACAACCAATCAAAATACAGAGCACATGTGACTATCTGGTGCCCAGCCATCCCCAGTTGACACATCTACAACACAACACATATACCTAAGGCTCAGGAAACATCATGGAAAGGAAACAGCAAAAAAATATAAGAGTCAGAGAAACAGGAAGTCTTTTGTGAGAATTTGACTTCTAGAAATGTCAAGGAAGCTACGTGCATGAAGTCATCAACTTGACTTCCTAAACATGATCTGAATAAGGATCAGACCAATAGACAGGCTACCACTAAAGGGAGAAATTCCATAGGGCCCCAACCCAGGACAAAGAACTGCAGACAACTAAAAAATACTGAGATTAGGAGGAATAGTCTTCCCTAGGGAATAGTCCCCAAATTGGTTATCCAATTCCAAGAAGCATGGTCTGAAATCATCTACATAAAAGTAACATTATATGGTATTAGCAGGTTTTATTTATATATTTATGTGAATATATATAATGTCTGTGTGTGTATGTGTGTGTGTGAGAGAGAGAGACATCGACAGAGAGACAGAGAATGTGATGAGAGAAAGCAAGGAAGAGGAACACAGAAGAAATTGGAGAGAAGAAAAGGAAGGGAGAAATATTTTAATTATATTTTTATTTCTAAAAGTAAAAGTAAGAATGTAACAGAGCTATTGCAGAGGGTTTGTATGTTGCAGATGACTGAATAGGGGTGGAGAGGCTATCAAATCTCTTTGGAGCCCATATGACCACATCACAAGCCATGTGATGCCACAGACATTGATGTTTTTCTTTCTAAGTGTAAATCTTGCTTAAGCTTGATCATTCCATGCTATACTCCCATTTTATACCTCTTTGAAATGGGAATGCTTATTGTGTGGCATTGTTTAGGGGGACTTTGTAACTTGGCTTTGATTTTATACAAATTCACAGTACAATGATTGCTTCAAGTATCAGGAGACATTTTGGACTTTGCTCTTTTAAACATTGCTGGAACTGTTAACCATAGCAGATTTTTCAAAGTCTAAATGAATGCATTTTAGTTTAGAAGTTGGTCAAGAGCCTATGGCATCAAGAAGTAAACTCATTTCTTGGAAATGACATGTTAGAGTTTCAAGTTAGTGAGGGAAAAGATACACAACAATAGAAAATATTGTCTATTTGACAGGATCTAAAATAACTTCATAGTCAAGCTTCCAGACACTTCTTAGATTAGGATAATTGAGATAGGAGGACTGTTGCTTTAACTGTGCTGTTTGTTAGAAGATGTTGTTATGTTCACAGGCCAAATCTTGCATAGGCCAATTGCAGGCAGTCGAGGTGCTGGGATGTAATGACTGCATAGGCTGTGCTAAGGCCAGAAGAAAGTCCACAGCCTTCCTTTCCATGTTTAGGGTCACAATATTGTATTCCCGTTTCTATGATGTTCCTTCAGCAACAGATATGCAAATGCCCTGTCTTTGACTGCCACTCATTCTCAGCACACTGAGCAACCATGTTTCTCTGCATGAATAGCTGTTCACTGGAAAGAGAAGCTTCTCTGATTAAGGCTAAGAGTAACATTTGCCCATGTGTAAAAATGTTGTGGGCAGGAAGCTGTTATTGTTTGCTATGAGTAGCAGAATACGAAGAGGGGTAGGTTTTTTTTCTTCATTTGTGGAGCATAATATATGCTAAGTGATAAATTTGGCCTTCATTCCTATATAGTGAAGTTTTCCTCAGCCACTAGCCTCAAATGATGGTACAGAGGCTTTTTATTAATTATGAAAGCATGGGCTTTAGTTTAGGTTTGTCTCAACTAGCTCTTATAACTTAAATTAATCCACTTATGTCAATCTATGTTCTATCACATGACATTACCCTGTTCCATCTTGCACCTCCTATTTCCTCTCTGTATCTCCTGGTGTCTCCCCCTGTGCCTCAATTATCTCCTCCTACTTCCTCTCTCTGCCTAGAAATCCCACCTATACCTCCTGCCTCGCCATTGACTGTTCAGCTCTTTATTAAACCACAGCAATATATCTTCACACAGTGTACAAATATCCCACATTTCCTATGAGCTTCAATGATGTGTGAATAGTAGGAAACATGTCATATGTGCACTTACTTTTCAACAAGCTATTTATCAAAATTTTCAGCACTTTGGTTGGGGTTGCAGCACTTTGTTTGTTGGAAGAAATTAGGATATAGATTATATACAAACCAAAGAAAGAATATCTGATGCAGTTTCCGTATGTACTGCTTAATCCTAGCTTCATTTTCTGACTTAAATGGTGGATACAAGCTGCCACGTGGACTAGATGGGTTCCCTTATATACAATTTCAAGAGGACCTAAATCGTGTATTGAATATTATTAGTGAGGGATAGAAAAAGAAGGGTTCAAGAGAAGGTTCAAAGTTGAATAGCCCTTCAGACAAGAGCTTTATTAACACTGGCAGACAGATGAGCATCAGAGAACAACGCGGTCTTCAGTAAGACGATTCAGTCCCATCGGGCAGAGGGATGTGCCTGCTCTTCAGAGTTTACGAGGAGGAGTTTCTGCACTAAAAAACTTATTAATATGTGATCTGTGCAATGTGGCAGAGGCAGGGGACAAGGACACACTTAACATAGGCTACATGGCAGGTCTCGCTCTTTGGGTAGGGCACTGAGAATGTTTACAGTGTGATCTGTAAGACAAACATAGGTTGTTCTTGGATCTGGGCAAGAAGGGGAATAGTGTGGATCCCTACCCTGTTTTGAATCTTCTTTGTTTAGGTCTTGAAGGGGCCATGTTCGTTCACATTGTCCATTTAACTGTGTCACTCTAATTTGGAACAGAGAAACAATTTAAACTTTATCTGACTTTAAATAGGTCTCCCACCAATATTTAATGTTATGTGATATTTTGATCATGTTTTGACAAATAAAGCTTGTAGTCAGAGACAGAGCTATCGATTAGCTGATCATAGAGGTTTGGAGGACTGTAAAGAAAGGAGACAGGAAGTGGTAAGCTGGGGTCGAGAGAGGATCTCAGCCATTTCGGTTTGGAGGAATCAGAGGAGATGGGGAGAAGGCGCAGTTACTTCCAACCTCTCCAGTTCCTCTGACCAAAAGTGCCGAGACCTTGTCTCAGCCCTGCCTTACCCCTTCCTGTCCCTCTCTCCACAGTCCTCTAAACCTGTGTCATTGACTGGTGGCCAGCTCTGTCCCCTGACTCCAAGCAAGCTTTATTTGTCAGAACACAAACAAAATATCACACAACAATTAGAGATTCCTTTTTAAGACATAGCTCGTCTTTCCCACTTTTCACATGGATTATGGTTTCTACTCCACATGCATATTCCAAGTTATTGGCAATATTTTATTCACCTTTTTGTGACTTTAGAATCAAAAGATAAAGCTGAAAATAGTGTCCTATTCAATTAGTCCAGTACATAGTTGGTATAAGCAGGAAGATCATAATTTTAAAGTTGAGATGTCAATGTAGCTAGAGGAACTGAAAAAGATGGGTTCAAGAGAAGGTTCAAAGTCGAATCACCCTTCAGGAAAATGCTTTATTAACATTGGCAAACAGAAAGACATCAGAACACAGTAGAGTCTTCAGTAAGATGATTCAGTTTCACCAATGAAGAGAGATGTCTTCAAAGTTTATGAGGTTAGCTTGTGGCTAGCTTGAATGGTCTACATGGGACAAGAGAACAAAGAAAAGGAGGGAAGGAGAAGGAAGAAGCAGAGGAAGAAGAGGCCCATTATCAGTTTGAATAGAGTTTGCTAGTCCAAACCTGAGATAATTTTCTTGAGGGATAATTTAAATACCTCTATTATTTTCTCAATTACTGTAGAGCATATCTTTGATCAGCTTGAGCATGTCTCTAAATACTAATAAAATTTAAAATAATCCTTGTTTTAAACATTTGAGTAGTTTATTTGCTACTCTTAAATGAAACATCAACTAATATTTTATATCTTTATACATATTCTGTTCTCATCCTATGACTCTTTATTACCACATGATTGATATTAGATATAATCCTTTGAACAGTCAGTCTTTTGTGGCTGTTTCTAATAGGTCCATATGAGTATGTTAATGTATTCATCTATTAATATGTCTCTTTATGTAAGTGTTTTAAAATTGTGGTCAACAAATTTTACCACAGTAAAACAATTCAGTGGTTGTTCTGTTTTGATTACAAGACAGACTCCATATTATCATACTTGTGGAATCTTGAAAAGTAGAGCTCACTGCACAACTTGACAGATTGGAGAATGTCTTTTCAAAGCAACTCAGTTGTTCTGAAACTTTTCCAGACAGCTTGAATAGTTTCTTCCTCTCCCAGATTATTCATCTTATAAAAGAGTATAACTTAGCATTTCTTACTACTTATAGACATTTAGTGAGGGTCAAATGAATCTGATCAGTTTCAGGGAGTTCCTAAAGGCTTTTGAGTTGTTTACTTCCCACACTCAAGAAAAGAATGTTTCAGTATCCTTCAGAACATCCTGTGTAAAAGAGCTTTCCTGTAGGATGGACTATTTCACCTCTCAAGACATTCTGGATCTTAAGGAGCTTCCCTAAAAGATGGAAAGTTTTATCTCACAATTATCCCTCATTAAAACTGATAATGCCAACTGAAAGGATGGCAAATGATCAGGGGGAAAAAGAGGAAGATGAGACTGACAGAGGCCAATATATGGAAGTCTTTTTTCTCCTGGTCAATAAAGCATGTCTATTGTCACAAATTCCCTTTATTCTCTTTTCCTCTAATTCTTGTTTATCTGATCAACTGCAAGACTTACTGGTCAAAAGAAGTGGGTGTGAGTTGTATCTGTGGACTCTTGGTGGAAACAGAACAATCATAACAGGGACTTCACAAAATAGCATAAAACCTTTTTAAAATGTAAGAACAATCATCCCTTTGGTAATTGCCCACTATGGGCCTTCAGAGTACTCAAGTTTAGCTTGCAGTCAACTGTATATTCTACATAATGCTCTGTTTGTCTCATCTAATCCCAAAGACCAGTTAATCCAAGACATGCCACAGTGACCTTCTAGTAATAACATAAAATCCTGATTAGATGTGGCTCCCAAACATTTTATTAACCAGCTCTATAAGATATTTGACAGGCCCTTTATCCTGTGGGAGACTGTTTTTCAGAGCTCAGGGTGGTATCATCTTACCTATTTGACTGCCTTAGGTAAAATTTTTTTATTGGATCTTTATTTTCCAAGGTTAATAATTGTCTTTTTCTCCAAAGAGCTCCAAATTCATTTTACAATTATAAAAGTCATATTCAGAACCAGTATGGGTGTATACCTATTTTCCTATCTGTAAAGGTTTAGTGAGTGGAATTAATGCAATGTGTTATTTGCATAAGTACCACTGGAGAACCCATATGTTTCTATTAGCTTACACAGCATTAAAGATGCATATCCCATTTGGTGCTATTGTCCCATTAATTGCTCTCGCTGGCGACTATTTTCTCTCATTAAACACTATCCTTTCTTACTCTACCAACATCGACACATTATATTTTTCAATTTTAGTTGCAGTTTCCCATTCTCTTTACTGAATATAATTTCTCCATTTATTTGGAGGACATGATTTTTAATTTATACAATATATACATATATAAATATGTACATTTTAATGTATAAAACATATACATATGTATCCTGGGTGCTTGTGTTCGTTTTTGTTTCTGCAACCTTTAACTCTCCTTAAAGTGCCAGTATTTTTATTACAATAGCTTTATAATGAGAATGAATAAGAAGCGCAAACCTGTGTCTTATTTTCTAAGACTGTGTAGCCAACTCCTCAATGCTTAATCCTTTACTCCAAATTTTAAATCTTTTGGCTACTTTTTTCTTCCTTATCTCGTATACAAGCAGTGTTTTTAGTGTTTTGGCATTAATTATATTTTTTTTTTTTGAAAAAGGGAGAAAGCAACATCTTTTTTTAAAAAAATATTATCTCCTCCTCTTGTGAAAAAGAAGAGCTGTGCCATTGTGAAAATGTATCCACCGTGAAGTAACTGTTACAGACCGTGGACACTGACAGGAAGCACCTTGGGTCCAAAAGTGTGGCTTCCCTCCTCTGCAATAGCCATAGGGTTATTTCAGTAGCCTAGGCTTAGGGGGCTGTGAATCGTAATGCCAGCTTGCACATGGCTTTTCTAGTGAAGGACAGTTATTGGCAACTCTGGAAATGCTTCTGTAGCAACTAGTTACATGTTAGGGTACCTATTAGGTTACCTAGGTCATTTCAGGGTAGAAGCATTCCAAAAGAACCAAATCCCTCCAGAGTGGAAAGTGGCCAATTCTTCCTTCTTCAAAGGGAAGGAAGGAAATTTCAAACAGCATCCATATGTCTGCATTACCCAAAGGAAGAAGCAGTGTAAAAAAAAATAGGTTTACCAAAGCAAAAATTTTCTGGCATTTCCTCTTACAAATTTCACAACTAAAATAAGATTGAAAATAAATAAACACCGTAATGTAAATTATACCATGTTAGTTTGTTTTTAAACATTTGTTACTATCAGTCTGATTAACTGTTGGTTAGAGCTTTGTACTGATAACATTTGCTGTGGCTTGTATCCTGTCAGCTAGTATGATAGGGTGATGGTTTATTGCACAGACGTGAAGCCACACCTTTGGGCCCAGGGCAGCCAAGGTCTGTAACGGTTATTTCTAGGTGGATCCATTCTTATCACTGAGGAGTCCAGTTGCTTCTTGGCAGATGTGAATTTTCTTCTTATGTTATTAGGCAGTGTTTCTGAGAATGAACTGTTCAACCTCTTTTGGGGTCCATATAAGAATGAGTTAGGCTACCTGAGTGCTTCGTAAGAGTTTCAACAGAGGTAAAACCGTTCAGACTAGCCTTTGAGACAACTACCTAGGCTAAGTAATGGGTGGATGGGATTACTTTTCTGCTCCTTAGGGCTTCTCAGGAAAAATACCCTCAAGTCCAGCTTCCTGACAATTTTCCTGTGCTTGAGGTTTATCATATTGCTTCAGATAAATGAGCAAAAAATTTAAAATTGATACCTGGGCAACAGTTGGATGAGAAGGCACATTGTTTTCCAAGAAGACTCTCTAGAGTTTGAGCCATCTGTGGCATGAAGTGCTACTTCCTATGGCAATATGGAGGTGGCAGAGACCATTGGCTTGTTTATAAGGCTGAATAAACTAAGTTGTCAATGCATTTACCGAATTACTTCACAGGAACCCTACCATGTATAGTCCCAAGATGGTGATATGGAACAGTAACCTGAGAGGAAATACACTGTTGAGTGCATTTTCCAAGTCAAATCTTCAATGTGATAACCTAGTAACTCCTAAAAATGGGTTCAAAGCCTGTCTTAGTTAGGGTTTCTATTGCTGTGAAGAGACACCATGACTATAAATGAAAACACTTAATTGGGGTGGCTCACTTACAGTTCAGTGGTTCAATCCATCATAATCATGGTGGGACAAGGTGGCATGCAGGCAGACATGGTGCTGGAGAAGTAGCTGAGAATCCTACATTTTACAGACAACAGGAAGTGGTCTGAGTGTCACACTGAGCGAAGCTTGAGCAAAGGAGACTTCAAAGTCCACCCTGACAGTGACATACTTTCTCCAACAAGACCACACCTCCTAATAGCGCCACTCCGTGGGCTTATGTGAGCCAATACACTCAAACTTCCACAGAAGTTACAGGGAAGCAAGCTTCTATATCTACAATTATATAGGAATGATACACTTGCTTCCCATTTTCCATTAAGCAAAAAGCATGCTATTTATATTTTATCTTGGAATAACTGAAAAGGTAGATTCTATTTTCTTAGTCCTCTATTTAGAAAGTCATAAGATAAGTTATGATTTGAATATTCCATACATGTATGTCTATGGAATTTTGATTCTCCATTTTAGACTTATTTTGTGAGGTGTGGAAACATTGAGGAGATGGAGCCTGGTTCTAGGGAATGGGTCACGGGGGCAGAGGGTACTTTACAATCTATATTATGGTCCTGTTTCATGTCCAGTTTCTTCCTGATTCACTCAAATACGAGATAAATGCCTCACACTCCTGATGCAATAGGTGTGACTGATCCTGTCTTGTACAACCCTAAAAATAAAAGCATAAACAAATGCTTCCTCTTCTGAGTTTTTGTAGGTTGTATGGTTATAATGATGAGAATGGTAACCAATACAGAAAATTAGTGATGATAAATGGGCTCATTACCATGATAGGCTGGCTACAGGGTTCACAAATCATTGTCTAATGATTTTTTTAAAGAAATATGGAAAATATGGACATGTGAGAATGCGAGAATCTAGAATTCTGTAAGCAAATTCTGTGGGGCATTTGGATTGGAACGTAGAAGACCAGAAAGTGAAAAAGCAAGGTGTAGAAAGCATGAGCTGGGTCCATGAGGTTTCAGCAGATAATGAGGATTTTGTCAGGGACTGTGTTAGTGGCCATTTATGCTGCATTCTAGTGAAGAATCTGATTGTGTTCTATCTATGTTCTGAGAACTTGAGTAACACTAAATTCAAAAGTAATGGAATATGTTGCTTGGTGGAAGAAATTTCAAGAATGATTCACTTCTGACCTACTTTTAAATTCAAACATAAAATCTGAACTCTAAAATCTACTTATTCATTTGAACTCATCAATTTTGGTGAACACAAAGAATGTAATAGTCCAAAGGAACAGACATTCCTGACATTATTATTTTCTAGGGGTAATTGTTTCTTTGTTGTCTTTAGAGAACTTTTGCCTCTTAGACAATCAGTGTTAAATGTTTTTCAGACACTAATTTGGAACAATCAAACAGTCTTGTTTGTAATAGGTCTGCAGTAGTCAGAGATTCAAGTTCAATGCACATCAAGATTTGGCACATAGAAGAATAGAAATAGAAGTGTATCTAAAAGACGGTGTCATTTTTAGGGTGTGTGTGACATATACAATAAGAAGTCATCCTCTGTTGGTGCTATAGTCCCCTCACCCATGGATCTCTCCAACCACTAGAGCAGCACAGGAAGCAAATATAGACAAGGAAATAGAAGTCAAGATTGAAAGGAGAAAGGAAGGAAGGAG